TATTTTTTATTGTCTTCTTTGTAGTCTATGTGACATCAGTCTTAGGCAATGTCATGATCATCGTCATCATCTTCTCTGATTCACATTTGAACTCTCCTATGTACTTCTTGCTCAGTAATCTTTCATTTATCGATATCTGCCAATCTAACTTTGCCACTCCCAAGATGCTTGTGGACTTTTTTATCGAGCATAAAACTATCTCCTTTGGGGGTTGCATGGCTCAGATATTTCTTCTTCATAGTTTTGTTGGGAGTGAAATGATGCTACTTGTAGCCATGGGGTATGACAGGTTTATAGCAATATGTAAGCCACTGCACTACAGTATGATTATGAACAGAAGACTGTGTATAATTTTTGTGTCTATTTCCTGGGCGGTGGGCATTCTCCATTCCGTGAGTCACTTGGTCTTTACAGTGACTCTCCCATTCTGTGGTCCCAATGAAGTAGACAGCTTCTTTTGTGACCTTCCCCTGGTGATAAAGCTGGCTTGCATGGACACATACAAAATGGAAATTATGACCCTGGCCAACAGTGGGCTGATATCTCTGAGCTGTTTTCTGGCTTTAATTATTTCCTATACCATCATCTTGATCACTATCCAATGCCAGTCCTCCAGTGGGTCATCCAAGGCACTTTCTACATTAACTGCTCATATCACAGTGGTGATTCTATTCTTTGGGCCTTGCATTTATTTCTATATATGGCCTTTTAGCAGACTTTCTGTGGATAAGTTCTTGTCTGTCTTCTATACCATTTGTACACCTTTACTAAATCCCATTATATATTCTCTGAGGAATGAAGATGTTAAATCAGCCTTTCAGAAATTGCGAAACCACAGTGTAAATGCTTAGAAAAACCAAGAATTTCTGTGAGAGACAGCATCATGCTGAATTGGAATGAAAAGCCACCAGTGGATTCTAGAATCATGCCAATCGCTTTTATAAGTTATAGAAGTTAAGCTATAGAAATGATCTTTTGTCCCAGATGTAAGGTAATTTCATAAAACAATTATGGCCTGAGAGATGGCCTAGTGGTCAAGAGCAATTCCTTCTCTTGTAGAGGACCCAAGTTCTCTTTACAGCACCCACTGTTGGGTGTCCCAGAATTGCCTGTAACTCCAGCTCCGTGGGATCTGACACTGTCTTCTGGTCACCATGGGTACCTGAATACAAGTAGCTTACATTCACATACATGCATACACATAAATAAAAATCTATCTTAAAATTTTATAAAATTCTCGTGTATAAAAATTTTATTTATGTCACTAACCTTATGATTCACTTCTATTGAGCATATATTTTATCTTTTAACCAAAATTTATAGAAAATAGAATTTCTGATACATTTATTTTATAAAACTACTAGTTAGATTCTTACACTAAAAATTTTAATTTTATTTTATAACATAAATTTCACCTCC